AGTACTTCAACAGCAGTGAGAGCAGCATACCAACCCTTGCCAAAAAACGTCTTCTCTAAGAGTGGAATTTGAATAGCCATATCATTTTTTGCCTTCTACATCCCTTGCTCAAAGGCTAAGTCTTCCTGGACCTTGGCCTCAGCCTTAAACTTTTCAAACTCCGCAAGCAGACTGGCACGCTCAAGCTGAGTCTCAGTATGCTCAACGTTGGTTGCATGTTCAGAAGCTTTCAGCTCAGCCACATCTGCTGAAAGTTTCTTGTTCTCCTCAGTCAAGCTAAGCATTTGAGTCTGAAGAACAAGAATCTCCTCGCAGAACTTGGCGTACTCCTCGTTAGTAGATTCTTTCTTCGCCAAAGTAGAAGCACGGGCATGGATGGCATCTTTCATAGCCTTGTCTTTCCTGGCTATCCTAGCCCCTACCTCATGTACTTTTTGAAGCCCCTACAAGTTAAAAAGAGTGAAAAGTTTAGACAGGTTACTTCGGCTCTAAAGGAAGGTAAAAGAAACAAGCTAAATACCAGAACCATCTATTGGATTGCTTGGCAAGTAGTCTCATCATCAGACAAAGCCTCATTTGCGGCTATGTCTCGAGACAGAATTACTCCCCTAGCAATACCCACAACAACGTTGAAGTCTTCAATAGCAGAATCCTTCACCGTTTTCTCCCTTTTTTTTGCTCTGAGAATGGGTCAGAATGAGAGAGTAACAGGTTTAGGAGAAGGCACTATATTAGAAACTGAAACTTTGTGCCTCTTAGGGGCAGGGTCCTCGGAAATCTCAATAAGAGAATTAGAACAGTCATCGGTTAATTGAACAGGAACAGAAGTAGTAAGCTCCGCAGGAATAGAAGAATCTGGAGTTGGAACCAAATCTACTAGCTCATCATCCTAGTGAACCACATTGCTCGGTTAGGGAGGAATAAGTTCAGCAAGAGCTCTAGATTCAAGTTCTACAAGCTCAAGGTCGGTAGAAGCTGGAGGATCAATTGGCATGGAGGGTTCGGCAGGGACAGATGTTTCAACAGTCGATAGAAAGTCAAGAAAATTTATGACCGATCTATTTCTTCCAGATGGACTAGGCGGGAACGAGGAGTCTGGTCCCAAGCAACTTGAATAGTCTCATGATCGGCAGCAAGTGAAGAGTTAGGTCGATTTGGCATGGTGATGAATGACATATATGTCGAGGTATACCCGAGAAGTGTGTGAACAGCATGGCAAAATATGGAGTCATTGTAGTCCCACACTTTCTTGAGATCATCCATCTTGACAGCACGCTTAGGGACTCTTCCCTTCACAGTCTAGCCTACAAAGAAAATACAGCATAATCAAAAATAGTGGATGAATGAATTAAGAAGATAGAGTAAAAACGACAGTCACCTGGTACGTCTTCCTCGTTGGAGCAACGATAGGAAGGAGTAGCGCCATCAGCATACTCCCAATTTTCAGAAATGAAGACCACATCATTCTCATGGCCTTTGTTTGAATCTGGAAGATGGGTTACCAAATAGCGATCTTTCTTTCTCACTGTGAGATAGTAGTTGTCTTTAGCCGATTTGATGATGTAACAATACAAAATCTCCCATAGACCAAGGCTCGGGTTCAGCCTGTTCAGAGCAGCTACACCCATCACTACTCTAAAAAAATTGGGGGCAGCATTGGGGCACAGCTTCATTGCTGACAACACCCAAAAAAGCAGAGGATCAAGAGAGAAACGAACACTACCATCTGTAATTGCACGAGTATGAATAGGAATGCTCTCCTTGGTACCAATTAGAGGTTCATCGGTACCTACAACTCGAACATCGACATCTTCAGGAATATTATACTTAGCTTTCAAAGCTGGAATCTCAGAAGGTGTTAAAGGAGCCATAGCACAGAAGAAAGCAAAGAAGGCAGAGGAGAGTTTGCAAGTAAGAAAAAGGAGGACTATGTAAGAAGAAGAAAACAGAAAAGTTCGCTTAAAAGGAGGAAAGTGAAGTTCAAGAGATGATATTTAAATGCATAATACACCTCTAAAAAAAGGGGGATGTTTCAAAAGTACGCAGAATGATGGTTTGGGGGCATGAAACAACTAAAAGACGAAAAGCGTATGTCACACTTTCCTAAGGGCAAATGAAGGGGTTGTTCACTTTATGACACGTATAATAGCATTAAATGATCTCACGTGAGGGTGACAAGACCAGTCACGTGAGAAAGACATCACTAGACTCTGTCATCAAATAGCAACCGAGCTGTTCAGAAAGTTCGGGAAGAAAAGAATGAGCCCGATTCTCGTCATGACCGAGTTGTTTAAAATAGTGAATGTGGCACTAAAGAGATGCCTACAATTCAAGCATTCTGGTTTAACGAATGAACATAATCATAGGCTCGGTAATAGGAATTATTGGAGAAATCTTAGCAACTTTCTGAACAGAATCGCCTGATTAAGGGAAGGTGTACCACCTTAAATCAAAAATCATTGAAATCCTAACTGAAAAGGACTCTATAAAAGACATAAGGAGTCAAGGTGAAAGGTACGCTGAATTATCCTTGTCTTCTTACAATTTACTCAATTATATTACTGACTTAATTATCGAAGTATTTTCGATCGAAACACTTTGATCTTGGACAGTTTATTCATTTTACAGGAAGAAAAGACTTGAAGAACAAGTTTAGAGGCCATCTACGAAAAAGGATCATTCCTTCATTACTGTAGGAGGTACTTCCAATTTTTGCCTCTTACAATATCATAATTTTTTTTTCATTTTAATCTTATTGTTTGATCAATGATTTTATCCATTCTACTTTTTAAATAGGAAGCGATGAGCCTTGCTTTGCATGCATGTGATTTTGGATGAATGTGCCAAATTAATTGAATTAAATTAAATGATGAGCTATTTTGTTGAGCCAAGTTAGATATTTTGTGCAGAAAAATTAGACCAAAACTTTAGTTGGTATTTGTCGTCCTAAAATTTTTAGTGTTTATGGTTATGGTTATGGTTATGGTTGATTGTTTTAAGTGTTTCTATTTATGAACATAACAAGTTATACTCACTTTCCTCCTGCGAATGCTCTTATGTTTTCTCATTGTCAATTTTTTTTGGGTTACATAGCGATGTTGCGGCAATAGTCAAATGGTTGTGTTAACGTCTAACTATGGCACGAAGTGAGTACAACAATTTGTTTGAGTCGCGTTTTTTCTTTAGAACAAACATTTCTCTAGCAATTACAATCCTGGTTAATAACCCGTGATATTTGTTTCACTTTTTATTTCTGATGCAATGACACTGTGTATATATGAACCTACTTTTATTTGTTTTGTTTTATTTCTTATTTAGTTGTATTCTACTATGTTTTTGCTATGTCATTGACTAATATTTGCTATTTTTTGCTACACCATTGATTCATACTAACATTTTGGCTTTTCGTTTGTTTTTTGTAGCAACTTTTAGGGTCCGATTTAAAAGTATATAAATTTTACAGGATGCCATTTTCATGAAGTCCTATTTTCAGAGAGAAAATGAGTTATGTACATCTCTTTACTCTAGGTAATGTTATTTTATTTTTTAAAATTATCAACAAAAATTCAGATACAGAGATTAACTAGTATATATGCCACGTGTCATTCCAATTAAGGAGACTGTTATTATTCACTAACCCATTAAACTGTTGGCCCTACTCATGGGTGGTCTCACTTGTGGCTTCCACCTTTAATGGTGAGACATTTAAATTGACGAAATAGAGCGATTTCTAGGATTGAGAGGATCCCAACTCATTAGTGAAAAAACGAAACATTGAGGGCCGGGATTATAGCTTTAGAAGTAGTAGCTTTCTTACATCCTCAAAATGGTTACCTTATAATTCTCAGCTCAGCTTCAACAGAGGAATAATAATAATAATAATAATATCTATAAGTCTAATACACGTTTAAGATAATCATGAAAGAGTAGATAAATGAAAGTGAAAGTTCTCCAACACGATCTTATCAAAAAAATTATCATTTATTTCCAAACACCTTCCACCAACAAAGAACATGACCTGAATAATTGTAATCTCTATTGTATTATCCCTTTTGATATTTTCCAAAGCAGCTCATGAATTAATTTCTAAGTGTTTTTTTTTTTTTTACACACCTCATTGCCCATATTAGTGGGTGAATAAAGTTCCAAATCTTACATTGAGTAGCCCTCCTTTAATCCCAAATAACTTCAATATTTGCCTACAATTCCGAGACTTTAAGTAGCCTCCCTAACAAATATGTTTAATTTAATGATCACTGAAAAAAAAAGTATGAAGAGGTCTCCAATATTACTAGGATCGTAGATCAATTAGAAATGATACAATACTTCTTTTAATACGTAGTACCATAGGAGCACACTTATTTACTATGTTATTTTGGATCGTAATTCGTTTTGTAACTTCTAAATAGATACAACAATATATGTGTATATACGTAATTAATAAATATTTAATAAATGTTGTCAAAATATGAATTTAAAGAACAAGGCAAAATAAAATAAAATTAAAAAAATAACAAATTAAGAGTTATTATTTAGGAATGGGGTTATGATATGAAATTACTTAAATCGTGAATTAATTTATACTTTAAGTTATGATTTGGGATCGAGGAGTTTGATTGATCTGAATGGCAAACCCACACCACCGGTGACGGTCGTGCGACCTGACTCGTGGAATGTTAGGGGTATTTACGATCGTGGTATCTATGGGTCTGCATCTGTTACAAACATAATGCAAATCACAATCTGCATTCTCTACAAACTCATATGTATATATACCGAATTTATATCAAACAGAAATCAAACAAGAACTGGCTTTTTATTGCAAATCGAAACAGGAAATTATTATTTGCATCAACAAAAGCACAGGCAAAAGAACATAAGAACATGTAACCAAAGTCTCAAAAGTTAAACTAATTACTAGTACAAAGAATGCATACATAAATATATATATATGACTCCCTAAACAACAGGTACATATGAAGGACTATACCTGTTTCATGTCAAAAGTTAAAGATCCCATCCATTCCATTGCTATTAGGAGAACCCAATACATCTTGCAAACAATAGTCCTCAATCGAACCAAACCCTTCAAGCAGTCCCTCAAAAAACCCATTATCAGAATCCAATTCCATTCCATTCATCATTGGATCCTCCTCTTCCTCTTCATCCTCCACCATTACTACCACCCCTTTCTGTTTCTCCTCCTCCACCGCTGGCATGTGCCCCTGAAACAAAGCCACATGTCCAAACAACTTGTCCTTCCTCGAAAAGCTGGTTCCACAAGAACACTTCCACTTAGTCTCTCCACAGTGCTTCAAATGGCTCTTCAGATCCGCCAAAACCGAGAAGCTCTTCTTGTTACACCTATTACACGAATACATCTTGGGACAATGGCTTCTCTTGAAGTGATTCTTAACACAAATCGCCGATTTCAGCGGCCTGAATTTGTTGTGTGATTTGTTCCGATTACACCCCATGTACGGGCATGAAAATCTTGTCCTTCGAGTCATGTCAGATCCACACTTCTCAGGCTTTGCCAGTGCCTCTGGAGTTTTGAATTGGTTCCCATGGGCTCGCATATGCATCCTCAAATTTGCGTCTCGCTTGAACCCCTTTCCACATATATCACAGAAATGGCTGTGCTCTGCTAAAAGCTCAACCGAATCGAGCTCTACTATTTCATAATCGTCATTAATTTCGTCTTCAATTAACTCTACTTTCAGACCCATCATCTTCATTTCTGATTCTAAGACAATACTACCAGCTCGTGGATTGACCATCAAAGTCGTTGAATCAGAGGATTTGGGACCGATGATCTGGTTAGGGTTTGGGGCTATTTCGAGAGAAGATGGGTTCTGAGAGCAAGCGAGAAGAGCAGCTCCGTTGACTATGATCTGATGTATGGCGGAAGCGATCTCGGCGGAGACCATGTCCATTCGATCTTTTCCGATCAGAGTATTGCCATTGACCGAGCCGGAGAGGAAGCGTTGGAGGGAGTCCATTCTAGCTTGGACGGTGGAGAGGTTGAGAAGTGGTACTGTAGGGTCGGAGCTGACCTCCGAGAACTGAGAAAGAGTGTTCCCGGTGGAGGCTCCGGGAGGGTTGTAGCTCATCGGGAACTTCCGATAATCGCCGGCGTTTGACATCGTCGGAAGAGAAAAAGTGCGTTGGTAAAGATAGGATTTTGATAAGTGACCAAGCCGTCGTGAAGATTGACTCGCGGGGGTTGTGGATTGACTTAAAAGGCCCAAAATATGGGACCGATTTGGTGTACACGTGTCGGTAAAGCTTGGCTTGGAGGTTGTGAATTGACTTAAAAGCTCGAATGACACTATAGCTGATTTTAAATTTAAGAGAAAATTATTGCACTATTTTTTATTTTTTTAGTAATATTTCAAAAAATTAAAAAAAATCCAAAATGTGATAAGTTTCACCCAAAAACTAAAAAATAATAAGATTTACCTGAAGAATAGTAAGTAAAAAAATAAAAAATAAAAAATTTCACCAGAAAAATAGTAAGTGAACCTAAAAAGGGGTACCCTCAAATTTAATATTATATAAATACCTAAAAAAGGGATAAGTGACACAATAACAAAAAAAATAGCATTATAGTCAAACCTTTTAATTTATATCTTAAAAAATTAAAATTTTTATATTATTCTCTCAAGCAAATAAAACACATAATAATTTAGTTTGCCTTAATAAATTTGAGTACAAAAATTTTATGTAAATATCTTTGATAGTGCTCGAAAATCCTAAGGTCAAGTCCGGATCAATGTTTTTGCAAAAATGGGGAGGGTAACATGAATATTCTAAGCTAGCATAGAAAAGTATTTAAATAGGGGATCACAGAAGGTATATAAATAGTTCATCTTAGTGGAAAAGACCAATGTTTATGTACATTATAATGGAGGTTCTTGCTCTATAAAATTTGTATTATTTAACAAAGAAGATGACAATGAATTTCGTAGTTTAGAGCTTGAGTGAGTAATGCCTTGCCAATACAAGTTTTTTCAGTCCTCCTTTAGATTGCGTGATAGTATTCTATTTATACAAGTGGTTATCTAAGTGTTTCTGCAATCTTCTTCATCTTTCGGCTGATTCTATGGTCCGCTCTTTTTTGTCTTACAGTGGTGACCGTTACCCTAACACTAGTCATATCTGCAATCTTTTAATAGAATGTGCACAAATATTCTATTTACCAGCGAGTACACATTCTTTAGAGGCTCCAGAAATTGTTCCTTGGACACATGGAGCGATATGAGACATTCGGTGGTCTGGTGAATACCGAGTTCCTTGTTTTTGAACTGTTTACTGCTAAGCTTGTTATGATCAAGCGGGATTGTGCTACGTTGGACTCTTTGTTGGGTTCCGTCTTTTGAATTATTGTCTTTTCCTTATTGCAGAGCAAATAAGTCATGGAGGGATTTTTTGGCCCGTTATGCAACCGTTGAGTCCATTAAATGTTTTGAATTTAAAATGGACAATCGACTCTAAAATTCTACTACTATCGATCTTCATTTGAAAGTTTGTGAATAATTAGAAAATGAATAATATATAAATAATTGTGTATAAATATGAAATCACATTACTATATTTTTAATTAATTGAGAGTAAATATAAAAATGTTAATTTTTTAGAGTATGACTTAAAATTTAGAAAATCGTTTGAGGTTGTGCAAACGGCAAAATATAATTCGGGCAAGGCCAAAAATATGGCACCGGCTTTGTGTACACGTGTCGGTAAACAGATCCTGATCGTGACCCTTGGACTGGGGCAAAGGATAGGAAGGGACGGATTCTAGCGATGTGTGAAGGGTTGTTTTGTTACGAGAACTTATGTGGGATCCACATTGTGGTGACGCAGGAGCTGATGTGGCGTTTTGACACATGCAAGGCTGCTGTGTACTATGTATCGAGTACCAGTTCAACCATTGACGATTGCCTTTGTTTGCGGCTTGTGGGACATGGCAAGTGTATGACCCTCGTTAAAAGATAAGAGTTTAATTAAGAGAGATTTAGCGAGAGGCATACCATTAAGACGAGAGGTCTAATTTTGAATACTTTTAAGATAAAAAGTTCATAAAATATGAAATTGAAAAAAAAAATTTTAATGAAGTAGGTTAATTAAAAAAATTTATTATGTTCTATTCTTATATTTATTATTACTACTATAATCATCTCACTATCATTCACCACCACCATGAGCATCATCATCGCCTATCAACCAGTACTATCAACACCGATAGTGAATTAAAGGCAATAAACTCAACAGTAGGGGTGCAACTAGGGAGGGTTGGGCAGGTTGAGAGGTCAATCTTAGCCCAACCCTAAGTATACAATCTCCAACCATAATTTTAACATTAACCCGAGTATTGCCTAAATTGAATTTAGGTGAGCTCGAGTTGAATTTGGTTTATTTAATTCAGATTAATTTTAGGTTACAATTCAGGTTGTGTTTTATGTTACTTAATTTGGACTGATTTTGGATTAAAATTCGAGTTGGCGTTCATCAAAGTGAATTGTGAAGTGTAGATCTTAGTTGTAAGTTATTTTATTGAATCTATAAATTTATATATTTATTTTTAAATATATTTGAGAAGAGCTCAATTCAACATTTGGGTTGAGCCCGATTTATACATTCGTGTTGAACTCGGTAATCCGAGCCTCAACTCAAGTATTGTCCAAATTCAATTCGAGATCGTATTTTTCAGTCCAGGGCCAATTCAAGTATTAAAATCTCAACTCACTCTATTTTTTTGGATTAGGTTAAGGTTAAATTCAAGTTGGCCGACATAAGTTGCACCCTTATCCATGACAGTGAGTTACAAACATTATTTTCCTCTCTTTTTTTGAATCAATTGTTTGATACGTAAAATTTAGATAATATTTGATTGTATTTTATGAAATATCTTTAGTTAGATTGACGAATTTTGTATAATCTTACTAATTGAATAATTTAATATCAATTATAATATTTTGAGATGGAACGTGAAGTACCTCAAACAGTTTTAATTTTATCTTTTAAAAGTATTAGTTAATTTTAAAAAATAGTAATTTTTTTTTTTTGATGCCATAATATATTCCTGTGAAAAAGTTTCATTAAACATACCATAAAGCGGTAAGGAGTGTAAACGAAGTTATTCATTATAACCGCACTTTCCTAGACTTGTTAATTTAATAATGCAAATAATTGAGAGATTATTTATATAATAATCATTGTCTTAAACGCGTGTTAGTACCGAAGTTTTCGCTGATTTCTAGAAGATGCCCAGTTTTATATTAATTTATATAGTCAAGGCATCGAGCAACATGCCAAGTCTTTTTCAAATTGAAGTTTGGTAAAACAACCTGACTAATTATATATAACAGACCATTGTGTCTGTGTCAGCTCATCTATGATGGAAGACGAGAAGAATTTCTCCACTAGGGGGTAAAATTGTTGTTGGAGGGTTTGTTGTGTAAATAAGGACTCGACCCAAGTTATAATCTTTAATCTAATTTTAATCCAAACTAGAGTTCAACTTGTCTCCGTTAGGAGAGGGTCAAATTTACCCAAGTACAAAGTCCAATTCAAACACGCACTCCACGTTGTTAAAATTTTGAACTCCGTTTATACAATTTGAATTGAATTGAATTTCTGATTTAATTCTAGGGTTAACTATTCCGTTTAAAAATTGTAAATTTTGGGTTTTGGTTCTCGGTTACATTATTTGAGCAAATATTCAATAATTTTTGTTTGGTCTTGAAAACTCGAAAACTTTAACCTATGTATTACCCGGAATTAAATCGCGTTAGGATTTATTTTGTCCATCCCAACTCTAATATACATGTTACTGTGCAAAAATAGTATTTATTGTCCAATACTCCAGTTACTGTGAAATTATTAAAAATAGATAATAGTTGGATTAATAGAAACAAATTGAAACTAGCTAAATTTTGATTTGTTAATGAATCAAATGATAAAATGTTGCAATAACTAAACCCAAATATTCTCTCAATTCAAAAAAAAAAAAAAAAACTTCCTCTGTGAATCCTTTAAAAAAGTCTTATAAAGTCTCCATGATGACTTAGCTGTTATTATCTATGGTAATGTTGGTACGATATTATAAGTTACAAATCAGTTACATCAAATTACGATTCAAATAGATTTAGTTACCAATCAATAGGGGTAAATTACAATCACTAAAAAACTTGGGTCGATATCAAGTTTTTTTTATGATCAATATCAAAATTTAATATTTTATTGAGTCACATTGCAGTATAACTTAACTGGTGGGGTACCTGCAAGAATAACGAGAACTAACAACGATAAGAACCCAAGATCGTTTAACGATCAGATTTTTTGGTAAACCTTGACCCATTGTTTACAATAAACAAGAATCTTGGTATATAGACCTCAACCCGCTGTTTGTGAAACAAGAACCTCGGTATAAAGGAAGACGCCACAAACGGTGTGGAAACCCGTTTGATAAGTCGTTGGTGAACGCCACGGAAAATTTCGATAAGTTCGTTTAGTTCTTCAAAGAACCAAAGAGAAAACACTCTCAAAATTTGCTGAATAATGATCTGAATGCCTATTTATAGGCTGGCCATTTACAAGGAAACAAATCCTAATCTATTAAGGAAACAAATCCTAATCTAAATAGGAATAAATAAAGACTAAATTTGTGACCCTTTCTCTCAAAAAATGCCCTTGAGTGAATAGTGTCATGGTTACTGTAGCATGAACAGTACCATGCTGTAGTACTTATTCTAAACCCTAGTTCAAATAAAATAATAAGACATATGTGAGCTAAGCATCCTCAAACCCACTTATTCTAAACTAATAATAAAAATTATTTAAACAAATTGAAAGGCTTAACAACAAAAAATCAATTGAATCTTAGCATTAGCCCCTAGCTGGATTCTTCTAGAACTTGAATCATGTTGATGAATCTTTGTTGCCCAGGTGGATCATGGTCAATGGGCCTCCACAAACTTGCTTGATTTCATGCCTCTTGAATTAGTCCATTGAGTACCTCTTTAAACTTCCTTGCTCGTACTCTCGTAACCGGCCCACTTGGAACTTGAACTAAATCCCTTGAAGTTGTGTTATGATTTGCATCATTCCCCTCATCTTGAAAAGGATTTGCCCTCAAATCATCACCTACATCAAAAGGACTCAAATCAGTAACATTAAAAGTAGCACTTACATTGTACTCACCAGGTAAATCTAGCTTGTAGGCGTTGTCATTGATGCGCTCCAGGACTTGGAAAGGACCATCTCCCCTTGGAAGCAATTTGGAACGTCTTTGCGCCGGAAATCTCTCTTTTCTCATATGCAGCCAAACCCAATCTCCGGGTTCAAAAATTAGCTTGTGACGTCCCTTGTTGGCTTGTTTTGCGTATTGCTCCGTTCTTCGCTCAATGTTGAGTCTTGCTTTCTCATGAATCTGCTTAACAAAGTCAGCTTTCTTCTTGTCATATAAATTAATATGCTCAGTCAAAGGTAAAAGAGATAAATCCAATGGGGTTAAAGGATTAAATCCATACACAATTTCAAATGGTGAAAATTTAGTAGCAGAATGAATGGATCGGTTATAAGCAAACTCAACATGTGGTAAACATTCTTCCCATGTTTTGATGTTCTTTTTAATGATTGCCCTCAATAAAGTAGACAAAGTCCTATTTACTACTTCAGTTTGACCATCAGTTTGTGGATGACAAGTAGTAGAAAACAATAGCTTAGTACCTAGCTTACACCACAAGGTCTTCCAAAAATAGCTTAGGAACTTAGCATCTCGATCTGAAACAATTGTTCTAGGCATGCCATGTAATCTCACAATCTTTCCAAAGAACAAGTCAGCAACATGCGAAGCATCATCTGTTTTGTGACAAGGAATGAAGTGTGCCATCTTAGAGAATCTATCTACAACCACAAAAATTGAATCTCTCCCACGCTTAGTCCTAGGCAATCCTAACACAAAGTCCATTGAAATATCAATCCATGGCTTACTAGGAATTGGTAAAGGAGTATACAAACCATTGAGCTGCACTTTGGATTTAGCTTGCCTACATGTGATACATCTACCACAAATTCTCTCAACATCTCTTTTCATGTGAGGCCAATAGAAGTGTTTTTGCAATACAGCTAAAGTCTTTGCAACTCCAAAATGTCCCATTAATCCCCCACCATGAGATTCCTGCATTAACAATTCCCTCAAGGAACAATTAGGCACGCATAACTTATTCTCTCGAAATAGGAATCCATCAAGCCTAAAGAACTTACCACTACCAGTTTTCTCACAAGCCCGGTATTCCTCACAAAATTCGTGATCATCAACGTATAAATTTTTAATGTGCTCAAAACCAAGGAATTTTGCATCAAGTGTAGAGAGTAATGCATACCTGCGAGAAAGTGCATCGGCGACCACATTCTCCTTACCTTGCTTATACCGGATGATGTATGGGAACGTCTCAATGTACTCCACCCATCGTGCATGCCTTTTATTTAGTTTGTGCTAGCCCTTCAAGTGTTTCAAGGACTCATGATCGGTGTGAATCACAAATTCCTTAGGCCATAGGTAGTGTTGCCATGTCTCTAAAGCTCGAACCAATGCATACAACTCTTTATCGTAAGTTGGGTAGTTTAAGGCTGCCCCGCTTAGTTTCTCGTTGAAGTAAGCAATTGGTCGTCCTTCCTGCATAAGCACTGCTCCTATGCCAATACCTGAAGCATCACATTCAATCTCAAACGTTTTCAAAAAGTTAGGTAAAGACAATAAGGGGGCGTTGGTCAGCTTCTCTTTGATTAATTGAAACGCCTTTTCTTGTTCTTCACCTCATCTAAATCCAACGTTCTTCTTGATCACTTCAGTAAGTGGTGCGGCTATGCTACTAAAGTCCTTCA